ATTTCACTGAGTTGCATTAAATCCCCACGGGCTAAATTTCGTGCACACGGCATTCCAATTTTAACAATGAGTGATTTCAATAGTTTTCGGTTTTTTGGGACACCCTGTATAATACATTTTTAGTTGCATGTATTTAGATGTAAATGATTGCGCGTAATGTGACGAAACGTTACTCGATAAAATAAAAATCAAAATCCCTCTTTTGTGAATCATTTGCTGCAGGCATACGTTATGATATAATGTCACCAGACTTGACATGTTTAGTGGGCTTGATTAAAAAAAACACACAAAAAGATTCTTTTCTGCAGCGTTAGCTATATTGGGCTTAAGATTGATGACGGAAAATATGATAATAGCCTTCATGCAGTGGATTAAAAACGCCAAAGATGTACAGAAAATAGAAAGGATGATGGTGATGATGATGATGATGATGATGATGATGATGATGATGATTATGATGATGATGATGATGATGATGATGATGATGATGATGATGATGATGATGATGATGATGATGATGATGATGATGATGATGATGATGATGATGATGATGATGATGATGACGATGACGATGACGATGACGATGACGATGACGATGACGATGACGATGACGATGATGATGAATTACATTTATATAGCGCACTTTTCATATCGTTCAAATGCGCTTTACAGTTTACATCAAATATTACGTAATAACATACTTTATCCTAACCCACCCGCCAACCTTCCCTGTGGGAGGAAACCGGAGTTTCCGGAGAAAACCTGCGACTTTCGGCAGAGCGTTGGCATACTCTTTTCACATGAGAAATTCAAGAGTCCTGATTGAGAATCGAACCCACGACTTAGAGGCGAAAAGCGATCATGCTAACCCCTGCGCGCCACCGAAGCCCCGTGAAGAAGACAGGCACACCTTATGCACAAAGTGAGAAGATTTTTTAGATCCACAAGGTGCAAGGGAAATTGCCTGGCGTAACAATGGCTTAAAGCACCGGGCGCAATCATTGCTTTGACGTAAGCCATATAAAATAAGATTAGAAAAAAAATATGAGATGAATTGGAAGGAGATGATTGAAAACTCTGTAAAGAAAGTAAGGCCTTGCTGTTTGCCTTTTTCCAGTATAACGCGAAGCTTAAACTCCATAATATAATTTTTTGTCAGTATTGCTGATCAATAAGTTTTTATCAACTCTTTTAATTTGTCGTGTAATTTTGCAGTTTGAATTTTCAATGTATTGAGTGCATGTTAGCTAACACAAGCTTTAATATGCGTGGGAGCTGTTTTCAGGCCGGTTACGACAATTTGGATACAAGTAGTGATATATAAGTGAAAGAAGATATTTAAAGTGGAAGTCAAGTCCGTTTAGCGCCAGAGGTTCTGCGCATAGATTTAGCTCATAACAATTGAGGGACCTTTGATGTGAAAATTGCCTAAATTTTGCATGTTTCTTAGTTTTTCTTAACATAAACTCTAGTTCATATTAATTTAGAAGTGTAACGAACTTAAATAGTGTTAGATATTCACAGTAGCGTAGCCAACCTGTCGATTTGTCCCGCTATGCTAATATTTTAACGTTCACTGACTGTGAAAACAATAAATTTCTAAAGAGAAGAATAATTATAATAACTCGAAATTTTCATAGCGGGACAAAATCGTCAGGCTGGTTACGCCACTGGATATTCAGACAGCATATCGTATTTTAAAAAATAGTGAAGTTCAAAATTTAAACAAACAGTTTGTTTACATACGGACTTGATTTCCACATTAACAAATGCAAATTATTCCTCCTCTGCGAGTAATTTTCATCTAATTTTGTCACGAAATTTTGCGGAGCAATTAAAATATCAAAATAGTAAAATTTTGTCCCATTTTCCCCTGTAATTTGATTGGTAGATAGTTACACTGAAAAACTAAATCTGATTGGTTATTGTGGTGCAGAGCTTCAAGCTTATTGGCTTATAAATGATGTGATTGATGCTCAAAAATAGTATGATTTGGGAATTAATTAGACTATATTTAACCAATTATATTGCAAGAAAAACTTTTAAATTTCAAAATGAAAATAATAAAGGATTCACTCATACTATTCATACGTAATTTCATACGTGCACAGATGTGGAGGAGAACTCTCGATATTTTACCACAAAAGCTTGATCGATTTTCAACGAAACTTTGCATACTTATTGTGATGAGTGGCGAAAGTTCAAACGAGTTAGTCGCTCGTTATGCCACCTGGCCTTGAACAATAAATATTCATGATGTAAAGAAACGAGGAGCGACGAGTGTTGCTTAAAACATTCCGGTGCAAAAATCCAGAAACTCGAATCGATGCAATTTATCAACTTATGTTATAAATTACGAGCATTCAATTCAACACAAATATAATTTGGAAGTTTTATTCCATAAATAGAGCTAAGAGGTTAGGAAGAAACGACGCTGTGTTGTTTATGTATTGATAGATCTCTTACACGAATGTATAATGTGTCGATACCAAGTCGATACTCTGATATTCTGCGGAGAAGAGACAGGTTGTTTTTACCGAACTCTGTAATACTTTGCAGAGCAACTAAAATTATAATTTAATAATGACCATATCACGTACGGCTAACGTAATTTGAGTACTGTGAGTAATTTCCTGTTTGATCAAAGGTAATGTTTAACCTAGTACTTTATATTTTTATTGCCATAAGTCAAAACGTTGGGACAAATGTCTGGTTGCTTAGCATTATCTATCTAACTTTGCACAATTCTTGGATCCCTAGTCTAAATATGCCTTCATGTTAGGACAAACTTTGTGGGTAGGTGCGACCCCCTCTCAGCACCCGGTTAGATACGCCCTTGAGTTTAATGACACTGCATGCTAATTTATATTCGATCACTAGCTAAGGGTGTCGTTTTGTATAGTCATTGTATTAACGTGCCGAAACAAGAAGAAACGAAGCCAAGTGCCATATAACAAATATAATATAAGACTAAAATAACAAAATGGCGCCGCCCTCTTTTTATACCTACCCCAGCATGCATTGCGGTAATCAAAGCAGAGTATGTCGTACACTACAGTCATAACACTGTCTGAGTTATATATTAGACAGATTTAGATAGAGGACGGGACGTCAAGAGTACGTCAAAATATTGCGTGAGGTCTGGTTCGAGGACGTCGCCGTGTTGTTGACAAAAAGAGATTTAGATTTTATATAGGACGTCAAGAGTACGTGGAATATTTTTTTGGTTTGGAAAATGCATCTTTATTACCGAACACTTGTGTGAATAAATCTATTTCAAGTAAAGGATGATGAACAAAAGGTTTACCATAACAGAGTTTTTAAAATATATAATGAAAGCTATATATGTATGTTACGAACTATTGCGTATCTACGGATTGTCAATGAAACTGAATATAATATATAAAAACTAAACATTTACCAAAAAATATTTATTTTTATTTCCATGTTACCTTTAAGATTGTTCCCAAAGGTGTTTTTAAAATAAAATTTTAGTCGTTAAATAGCGTAATGCTCTCGTGATATTTGCTGTATTTGTTTTTTTATCAACGGTTCATGACAATTTGGACATTAGTTTGGACAAAATGAGTTTGCAATCTGTTCGTGATGCTTTAGTTTTTACGGAGCTCAACGATATATATCTGATGCTGAATTTGTTTTATTGTACGATTACAACTGGTCAAAACCGCTATTCCCTTATTGGAAATTCGAGTCTTTTAATGTTGATGCTTGGGATGACGAGGAATGCAGGACTGAATTACGGTTTGCCAAGAAAGACCTACCTTTACTGAAGCAGCTGTTGGGAATTCCTGAAAAAATCACATGTCAACAAGGCACAACATGCTCTGGGGAAGAAGGTCTGTTTATTTTGTTGAAACGATTTGCCTATCCATGCAGATACACCGATATGGTAAGCCGGTTTGGGAGGAATCCAACAGAATTGTGTCTGATCTACAACAAAGTGTTAGACTTGGTGTATGAGCAGCATCATCACCGCCTAGAGAGCTGGAATCAGCCTTTTTTGTCTCCAGAAAAGCTTCAAAGTTATGCTGATGCGATTCATAACAAGGGTGCCCCACTTGACAATTGTTTTGGCTTTGTGGATGGGACTGTTCGCCAAATTGCACGACCAAAGTACCATCAACGAACTATGTACAATGGTCACAAAAGGGTGCATGCAATAAAATTTCAAAGTGTAGTTGTGCCAAACGGTCTGATTGCAAACCTTGCTGGACCCTTCGAAGGTAAACGACATGATAGCACTATCTTACATGAATCAGGTCTTTTAACAAGCCTGGAACAGGTTGCCTTCTACAATAACCAACCCCTCTGCATATATGGTGACCCTGCCTACCCCTTGAGAGTCCATCTACAAGCACCATTTAGAGATAGGGAGCTAACACCCGAGATGATTGAATTCAACCGAGAGATGAGTCAGGTGCGAATCTCTGTGGAGTGGATGTTTGGAAACATTACTAAATATTTTAGATTTGTTGACTTCAAAGCACTCATGAAGTTACATTTGAGTCCAGTTGGAAAGATTTACTGTGTTGCTGCATTGTTACAGAATGCTCACACATGTTTGTATGAGAACCTTGTTTCTCATTTTTTTGGTCTTCAACCACCATCAGTTCATGAATATTTCTGGCAATGAGTTGTGACCTAATCTATAGTTTGTTTACATGAGTTATGCCAACTAGCCAATTGCCTATATTTTATATACTTTTATATACTATATGTATATATATATTTTATATACTTTTATATACTATATATATATTTTTATATACTAGCCAATTGCCTATATTTTTATATGCATTTTGTCAAGAAAAATCAAATAATTTATTTAATATTGTTCAAATTGTTAATACACAATGTAATTGTAAATAAATTTTGTAACATAAAAATTTATAAATATTTTTTATCTTCTTAGGATATAATAAAGTTATAAAATGTCTGTTAATCAATGACACAAAGTACCATGCATGCATGTTCTTAATTTATTTTTTAAGCATGTTTGCCAACATTTGTGTTTGCTGCTGCTGCTGCTGCATTAAAGCCAACATTTGCTGTTGTAAAAAACCAAATTCTTGCTGGTGCTGTTGTTGTTGTTGTTGTTTCATTTGTAATTGCTGTTGTAGATGTTGCTCAGATAGCTTCATTTGCATGCTGAACTGTTGCTGACTCTGTTGCACTACCTGCAAAAGTTCCAAATGTTGGTTCATTTGCATCTCCACATGCTCCCGTTTTTCTGCCTGCTTTAACTCTCTCTCTTCTTTTTCCAATTCCACCCTCTGCTGCAACCACTCCATCATGTCTCCAGATCTTCTTCTCCTCTGAGGTGGACCACTCTCACTTGTCATTCCAACCCTTTTCTTTGTTTCCCCCAACCTCTCCATTGCTCGTTCCCTCATCTCCAATGCCTGCTCTCGTTCATTCTCGATCCTCTGACTTCTTGCTGCACACTCTGTTTCCATCTGCCGATCGGTCTCGTCCTCAATATTGATTAGTTCTTCCATCAGTTTTTCATACTCCGTCATTTCTTCACCACCTTCCCCTGTAGCTCGCTCTTCTTTAGCCATTTGGGCGCAATATTTCTTTGCCGCCAAACTGTAGCGCTCTCTGACCCCCCTCAAAGTGACTGCCTGACCCAAAGTACTGACATTATCAGCTACACTTTGCCACCCCAGACCACGTTCTCTTGACCTTTGCTTATGTGTCAGAACACCTAGAGCTGCCACTTCCTTCAAAAGTATTAGGTCTTTGTCTTTTGACCACACCATGCTGGACCTAAAAAATATTTTACACTTTCAACTGAAATTTTCATTTATTACTTAAGCAGTAGTGAGCAAACTATGGGCGATATTGCTGAATAAATAACCAACACTTGGGGCACAGTGGGAGCTAAGTGCATTGGCATATTAAGCTGTATGTATATTGAATAAAATTTATTAAATTGTGCAGAGCTTTGATGTGTGTACAATACCTCTTGTTTGGGCAATCCTTCTTGTCTTCCATAGAGCAAATGGCACTTACTCAAATAATGCTGAAAAAAAGACAAACGAAATTAGGAAATGTTGTGTCAAGAGTGAACAAATTATACTCTGCCTGTATGAATATACGTGAAAACGTAAACAATCTTTTTGAAAATCATGTTAAATGTTGAACAAAACCATGAAACGTCAACTGTTTTAAAACCACAAAGTCCACAATTCACAAACGATGAACATTATTAGTTATTGATGATTGTAAATGCGTGTATCTTTAAAACCATTCTGATGGATCTATAGTCCTGGGTAAAAAGTGTTTATCTCGATTCTCGATCTACTAAAAACACTGTGAATAAAATTACGCAAAATGTGCATAATTTTGTATGCTAATTAGTACATAATATACAAAATAATGATAAAATAGTTGCTACCGCAAATTATTTTAAAATCATTTGTGTACGTACCTTTTTGATGCAAAAAAACCCCCAAAAAACCCGACGTCCTAAACACAACGTGAAAATTTGATTTTGGCGTCCTGAAACCTGACGAGACGACGTCGTCAACAAAACAACGCCAAATTTTCGCGCCATATTACGCGATCTTACGTACTCTTGACGTTCCCGTCCTCAATCTAAATCTGTTTATTAAAAGCGTCACAGAAATGTTATATGGCAGAATTGTGAGGTAAATACGACCAATGTAGTTTCACAGCCGTGGTTGTTCCCCACCAGTTCGTGATGGTTTTCTTATCTTGAAGATTATTGATATCTGATCTACGATGAAGTTTACCATCTTTGACTTGAAACAATGGTGTGTTGTTTTTCTCACTCCTGTCCACAAATGGTAAGAGATCAGTGACTGCACTTGGATCTATTTTCTCGTCAGGGTTTTTGTACGCTTTGACTACTTGGTCAACAGATGCTTGTGCTGCTTCCACAGCAATTTCGAAATTTTTCTTAAGAAAACATAAACAATATTTTTTGGATGATTTTGTCAATGTAATCCACAAATATATAAATAGATAAAACTAATGTAAATATTTATATATTTGTATTATATAGCAAATGCATGAAATATTGCAAAATGTGATTAGAAATTGTAAAGTGCAATTAAACCTGTAAAATTGACTGTTGGTTCATGTCCCCCGGCCCCCATGGAGTATGGAGTGTGGACAACTAAACTCAGTCATTTGGCAAATAAACAGGTAAAACATTTGTTAGTTATAAAGTGAATACATATTTTGGTTTATCATTTTGCTACTGTAATGAGGTAAAATGCATAAACATGTGTAGAACACTGGTGTCGTTCTGGTGTAGTACATATGTCTTGGAACTCCTGTCGCTTAGGACTGATTTCACAAGACACCTCCCTAGTGTGCACCCCTGCAAGACCTACAAGGAAAATTTGGCGGAGGTGTCCCAGGGTGATGGCAACACCTAGAATTGGCTAACGCCGATCATGTATTAATAAAAATACATTGTCAATTGCCAATTTGAAAAAACTGTTGAATTCATTTTTGTGAACTCAATGAAAATTGCACCTGGTTTTGCCACAGAATTAAATTATAATAGCGCAATGTAGTAAGTTGTCATTAGAAATATACAATCAAAGGAAGAGTATTCAGTGGTTTGGCGAGAAGAAATTAATTGAGGAGCCTTGCGGTGTATTTATACTCTATATTTTATCATGTTAAAAGCAATAGGTTTCAAAGCAATTAGCAAAGCACAAAATGAACATTTGAGAGTTTACCTCATCCTTTGTGTTCTTGAGCATTCCATCCCCATAAGCAATCCATTTATCTCCACGTACGTTGGTAACACGAAGACCAAACTTGTTGTCTTCATCATGCATGTATTTACTAAGAAGATCTCCTGTTAAACTTGGTGTAATGTTGATTGGTAAACCCACTCTTGGTGTTCTGAAATGTCGAGTGAAATCTTAGCTAATAAGGCAGCAATTGGTATAAATCATTGCTTGTTATCTGCTATTGTTGCAGTTCTTTCATTTTTCTTTCATTGTTATAACTGTAGTCACCCTTGTTGTATCATTGTTCTAACCCTAGTTATCCTTGTTCTAACTGTAGTTATCCTTGTTCTAATTGTAGTTATCATTGTTCTAATTGTAGTTATCCTTGTTCTAACTGTAGTTATCCTTGTTCTAACTGTAGTTATCCTTGTTCTAATTGTAGTTATCATTGTTCTAATTGTAGTTATCATTGTTCTAACTGTAGTTATCCTTGTTCTAACTCTAGTTATCCTTGTTCTAACTGTAGTTATCCTAGTTCTAACTGTAGTTATCCTAGTTCTAACTGTAGTTATCCTTGTTCTAACCGTAGTTATCATTGTTCTAACTGTAGTTATTCTTGTTCTAACTGTAGTTATCCTTGTTCTAATTGTAGTTATCATTGTTCTAATTGTAGTTATCCTTGTTCTAACTGTAGTTATCCTTGTTCTAACTGTAGTTATCCTTGTTCTAATTGTAGTTATCATTGTTCTAATTGTAGTTATCATTGTTCTAACTGTAGTTATCCTTGTTCTAACTCTAGTTATCCTTGTTCTAACTGTAGTTATCCTAGTTCTAACTGTAGTTATCCTAGTTCTAACTGTAGTTATCCTTGTTCTAACCGTAGTTATCATTGTTCTAACTGTAGTTATTCTTGTTCTAACTGTAGTTATCCTTGTTCTAATTGTAGTTATCATTGTTCTAATTGTAGTTATCATTGTTCTAACTGTAGTTATCCTTGTTCTAACTGTAGTTAACCTTGTTCTAATTGTAGTTATCATTGTTCTAATTGTAGTTATCATTGTTCTAACTGTAGTTATCCTTGTTCTAATTGTAGTTATCATTGTTCTAATTGTAGTTATCATTGTTCTAACTGTAGTTATCCTTGTTCTAACTGTAGTTATCCTAGTTCTAACTGTAGTCATCCTCATTGTTTTCCTGTAGTTATCTTTGTTCTAACTGTAATTATCATTGTTCGTTGTTACCACTGTTGTAATGTCATTTGTCTTTTTCGTGATTACTGGATACTTTAGTCCTATACTGGATAGTTTCTTTAATCCCCGTCAAAATTGTTTAAATTAACGTTTTTTTGTTACCTGATATGTCCACTTGAAAATGAATCGGTAAAGAAGTGAAGGGCAAACGCTTCGATTGAGTACGCCATATCAAGCAACTTTTGTCGGTCTTTTTCACTGCTTTCTCCTAAAGAAAATGTAGTGATTTTCTGACGTCTTGCTATTCCTTCAAGAGTATTTGCACCAATGTGAACGAGATTAAATTAATGCTGATGAGTAAAGTTCCTACCTGCTTCTCTTGCTTTCTGAATAGAGTATTCGTGTCCAGCAAGATAGGCCATCTTAGCATGGGGTTGAAAGTGATCAAAGTTTTTTTCTCCAAGTGAAAGCATTCTCCCAGGAACCACGGGTATTCCACCTGCCCATATTCCGCCTGTTGCCTCGTCCCATTCTTTGTCAGTGTGATGACATTCTGCAGTTTTGCAAAGCGTCTCGTCTTTGATCATTTTTAGTAGTTTGTCCAGTTGCTCCTTGACGTATGAATGTTAGAATATACATGTATCAGTTATCATTGAACTTTTTTTTACAAATAACATAAGAAAACAGGAGTTTAAACTCGTTCGTAGCTACTCATTAACGATATATGCATAGACATATGTGTTAGCCTTTTCACGACATATGACGAATCTTTAAGCAAATTTAAACGAACATAACAGTATAAAATGCATCTTTATGAATTGGTGTACAATCTATGAATAAAAATAGTCGCTGTTATTGAGAAATCTCACGATTTTGAAGTACTCTGCCCTCAAAATGGCCGCATATTTGTCTTTGAGAGATCGTTTGGATCATATATCATAACTGTTACATGATATAGCTACAGTAAACGTCCCTATAGAGTTGGGGAATTTAATTTCTCTTTGTTCTTTCATTTTTCTTTGTCAACGGTATGGAGTGAAATATTAACATCTTAAACCTTATATTTTCCTTTGTATGGAGTTTCTGCGAACGTGGAGTACGCATTCTTGAATCTTTGTGTCACACCTGGATCAGGCTGAGCTGGATTTTGCAAAAGATTTACAATGGGAACATCTGGTATGCCATAATAATCCCCAGCAAGTGAGATGATATCTGCAAATTTCAGAGGTACTCCATTTGGAAGAGTAATTCTTTTCTTTCCTGTGTAAAATTGTGAAAACATTAAATTTACTGAAAGGTCTTGCTCAAAATTATGGGCAGCACACTTCTCTAAACATTTTGTCATTCTCCTAACACATTTCAAACAGTTTTTTTGACCCAGTCGTCTTCTCGAACAACACTCCAGCTCTCCTAAAGCTCTAGGGTATTCTGTCTTATCGCACTGTTGCCTTCAGAGAAGATTGTTCAATCAACTACAATCTGCGATTCCTTAAACACCCACATGCACTCTCTACCAACATGACAAAATTCGTGAATGCGATATTATTGTAGACAAAGTATTTTTGTATTTAGTTCGAGTATAGAAAAAAAATGGCTGGTTTTCCGATTGCAAATTTATCTTTTATAATCTTACCAATATCTAGTTGATATCCTATCGTTTCATGTTCACCAGTATTAAAGAAGGAATCGAGAGTAGGAATATTGTTTGCCATTTCTCCCTATATGCCAAATATGTAATAATTATGATTTATATAATACGCGATTCTTCACTCATTTTATATTGCTTAATTATAGGAGTCCTTCGGCGTCAACTACTATAAGTACTGGTGAAAACCAAACCAGAGAAAGGCTGTACGATGAAGAAACGTTTCCATTAATGCTTACAATACGGCCGACGGGGCCAAGGGATGATGACCACAGCGGTGCTCGTGGTCGCACCCGTGGTCTGGGTGATGGTGACGTCGAACGTGTTCGTCCACTAAGGCAAGGCAAAAGGCAACCATCCGATTTGGATCGAGGCATCCCGCGTCGACATAAACTGGCGCTGGTTTTCAGCTTAGCAAGACACCTGATGCAGGGGAGTTGACGGCATTATCGAACCACGG